TTATTTATTTATTTTTCATTATCAATGCACAAATTATTAGTCTTAAAAATAGTATTATAGCTTTATGATATTGCATAAATCTTAGACTATATATGAGCTAAATGACAACTCAATGTGATTAGATTCATTGATGAAAATGTAATAAGTATCATAAGATTATTTAAAAAAGAAACCAAATACAAGTTAATATGCCAATAGCACTTTTAAATAAGGGAGTATGATGATGATTACTAGCTAGGATTCCAGCTCCGCTGGAAAATATAGATTAAAATAATATGAAACAATTCCAAAAGAAAATTTAATTATTTTTAACATATTTTTTAGTGATTTCTTTAGATATTAAAAATAATTGTTGAAATGAATAGTTTTAAATAGTTGATGGTATAGTTGTAAAACTTTATATGAGTGATGGAGAGAGTAGTTTTTGGAGTAATGTTTAGTGCTAATAAGTTTAAAGCATATTAAGAGCATAAAAATAAGACTAATACTATTTTAAAACCTTTTATAAGAAATAAGAAAGCAGAATAAACCAAATTTTCATAATTATTAATTAAAAGTAAGTCTTTTTATATTTCTCATTTGCAGAAATTGTGTTGATTCTATGCATGAACTGGAAGCCCACTTTCATTCAAGCATAAAGCAATTTTTAATTATAGTGTAAAGTTTGTGTGCATTTAGAGAAAGAAATGCTCCACCAAAGAGAAGAACAATGACTTGATTTGCAAGTAAAGAGTATATTTGTTTGGCAAGAGTACGATTATTTTGGTTTACTCATTATCAGAGAAATTAAAGTAGGTTCTGATTTACTGGGAATGTGGTTTAGCTTTCAAAGTGTCTACAGACAGGTGCTTCTCCATTACATTTCATAAAAAGGCTTTGGGAAACATTGAGTGAAAGTGAAGTCATTGCTCTTGACATGGTAATGGTTTGAAGTTTCTTTCTATAACCTCCTACAAGGAACTCTCAACTTGTCCAAGTTCGATACTTATGTTAGCACTTGGGCTCTTAATATTCTTAGAGGATTCTCATGCAACTAAATTCAACAGGTGGTAAAAATCATTTGGAGAAATGGCTGTATACCTTTAAGTCAGTGATAGACCTTGCTATGATAATAATCCATGTCATGATTGAAGTGTTTGGTCGTAAGTCCTGGCTAAGAACTGTACTCTTGGTTGAATCTAGTGCACAGTCGATGCTCTGATCCCTTACACAGTTTGGAATTTGCTAGCGAGTTTGGGTTAGGATTACAAAGCAGTGATTGCAAGTGTAAGAAAGTCTATTCCAAAAAAGGTGAGAAAAAAAACCAAATCTGTATGGATGTAAGAATTGCCACAACATCATAGATCAGACTCCATTGATTTTGCAGATACTTCTGTCAGCATAAATTGTGAAGAGATGAGTAAGAAAAAGAAGAAAATAAAAAAAGGGACTCACTATGGAACATCTTGGAAACAAACCTCATAGTGGGAGGTTTGTTGGGATAGTCCTCTATGAATTACATTGTCAGCTTAAATGTCCCTGTACAGTGCCACCAAAAGCTTAAGCCTAGCAAGCAAAACACACAGAAAGAATAAATTTTACTCTAGTTGACAGTTGCACTTGATAATCTGTCTTACCAATGGGCTCCAACATTTCACACACATCGGCATATATGTGAGAAAGTCTGTCACTCTTCTTACTATACAAAAGCAAAAAACATTCTACTGCTCACCTAATAGATCAGTTGCACAAAGACAAAATCTCCCACCTTATATTCCTAGAATTAGTGGTGCTCATTAGAAAACTTCTCCTCTCTATTTTGAGCCACTTGCAAATTCCATTTGGATACCACTAGAATTTCATCAAGTTTTGTGGCTAAATCAGTTGCCTTAAATCAAGTTTGTCTTGAACATCCTTGCTCAAATGCAATCCCACCTCTAATACTATTTTGGGATGCCTTTCAAACATGGCAAAGCAAAGACATTCCACTATATTGGCTATTAATGTAGGTGAAGTACACCAATGGAAGATATAAATCCCACTATTCATACCTTAATGTAGCACATTTTTGTAAGCAACCAAAGGGAACAACTCAAGAGACAATCAATAGGGGTTTGAATATTAAGGGAAAGGGCCGATGAACAAAAGTGCACCCCTTTTTAAATCAGTTAAGAGTCTTGGGATATCCGGGGTTTGAATAATACTGGGTTGGGGTGACCTCTCGGG